CCCCCGTCTCTCCCCCCAGGCCGCATGAACAAATGCGTCTGTGCAATTCCATGTCCACTTTGAGTACGGTAGCAAGCTGCCTGTGGCTCAAAGCTTTGGCCTGGCCCTTGGACATCGGATTTCCCAGTTGAGGCGGACCTTTCCGAAAGGCTCTGAGGGACACCGGATCCGGTATCCAATGTTGGCCATCGCTCAAGCAATTCTCTCATGCAGATCTTTATCCCTGTGGCACGATGGCATTCAAAACCCCGAACAGGATTTGCGATTGCCTAACATGCAGTCACCGTGCCGTCTGCCCCATCTGCAGTAGTCAACTACAAATCATAGTCCACGAACACCTAGCGGAGTGGCGCAAACAATGGTTTTGTTCAAGTACAAGTCCAAACTCTTGGACACCCCAAAGCGATCCTCAAGGCTCGGGAGAGATCTCGTTTCCCAGCTCCGCGCTGCGCCAGACGCAGCGCGTCAACGGTCAGAACAAAAGCAAGACCGAATCGATTCAACATCTGGAAGCCGCCCTGCGCCGCCCATGATTTGGGAGCCGCCACCCGCGTGAGCGCCAGCCTGGTGGTGGCACCACCACGAAGCGCCCGTCCGCGCGGCGGACCGCCACAGCAGAGTTCGTAGTGCCCAGATCCAGGCCCACGGACGTCACGGAGGACTGCCCAAGCTGTTCGACAGCACGGAACCAGAAGCCCAGGTATCCCCAACAGCCCAAAGGGAAGCCTGGAACCTTCCTTGAAAGCCAAAAACCATCCCAGAGCCTATTTGGGCAGAGACCCAAATGCTGCAACAGCTGCTGGGGAATAAAACTCAAAAACGGCCGCTGCGCTTGGTCTCTGTTCAATCATGGCAGTGCATTTTCCGAGGAATTCACTGAACGAGGCTTGCTCTGGAATCGTCGCTCAACCATAGCAGCCCAAAAAGGCAAGAGTGTCCTTTTAGGCGTGTCCCCAAACCACATGCAGGCCCAGCCCCAGTGCCCCAAATGCAAAACCAAATCTGTTCAATGTTCCATCCCATTTGCTCACACGCGTAACACCAGCATGTCAACATGTGGGCCCGTCAAGCACTCTTTGGAGCCCACCAAACAACTGACAAGTTCCAACGTTCCCAGCTGCTATCTGAAAGGCCCTCGCGCAACTATATTTGCTGATTTCACCAGACTCACCAGAAGCTGGAGAAGACATGCCAATGAGTTCCTACATAGAGCTGTCAGAATCAATTTCAAATGACTGTCCCTCAAGAATGAGTCGAGTGAGCAATCACATCAATCACAAAGATATACGCGTCAGCATTCTAGGGCTGGCAGCCCCTTTTTTGAATTGCTCAAACAACCAGTCCTCACACAATTGTGACTTCCAATTCCCTGTGCCCCCCAATTCAACGTGAGTCACTCAAAGCCCGGTATTCAAATGGACCCCGAACCAATTGAAAAGCCGGGAAGCTGCACTCACTCAATGGTTGGGATATGGCTGTGGGTCAAAAATAGGTATCCAAAATGGAAACCTGGCAAATGGAAAAGTAGACTAAAACCTGCTGTCCCCGAGAGGGGGCGGTTAATTTTGACCTATACCCATATGTTATTTAGCCTTCATCTACCCGAATGTGTTTTGAGCAAGTGTCTCACTTGTAGACTGCAGTTTCCCACCCCCAACTCAACGTGCAACCAACGACTCGTTTGAGGGCTTTGAGTGAGTCATTCTGATTCCGCCACTCAAGCGTGAGATTTAAAATGACGAATGTTAACCCCGGATTAATAAACCCCAGGTTGATCAATAGGGGCTGGGGATTCAGACCACTTTTGGAGGGATCGCCCCCCTTATATAATGGGACGGGTTTATTCATCCTGGGTCAACATTGCACCACTCCGACTTCGAGTTTGGTGTATGTAAGGGTATGGGTCAAAATAAAACCACCAGGGGACCGCAGGGTTTAGTCTTTGGTTCCGTTTACCATGGCTCCATTTCGGGTACGGATTTTTGACCAGCCATTTGGGCCACTCACCTTGGCCTCGGCATCCTCTGCCCTCCGCGCCACCGCCACAGGTGGCACAGTCCGGCCGGGGCCGGTGAAGGCAGCCTGTCGCGTAGGTTTCCCCCCGGAGAAGGGAGAGCCGCCGTTTTGCGACAACGTGGCCATGGGATCGGGACCCAAAAAACCGCCCAGCAAGGGTGAAACCAAGAGGCAAATTTGGGAGTGGGTCAAAAAACGGTGCCAAAACAGAACCCTGGTAACTGGAAACAAGGCCTAACACCCGAGTTGTCTTGGTGGCTTAATTTTGACTCATACCCATTTGATCTTCGAGTACATAGCTCAAGAACTCAATTTTGACCAACACATGATGGTCAAAACCCATGCAATGGGCACTCATTGTGTGGCTTGTGGCAAAAACATCACGCGAAGACTGCCTCAAGAAAATGAATGCCATGTGCTTCCATAGCCCTGGGCCGACGTACTATTCTTTGGTCAGAGGATCTTGGCTCTTGGCCATGTGCATGTGACTGCAGCTCCAAACATTGACTCAACTTCTTGACCCGAAATGTGTGCTGCTTAGAGTGTAACAGGGTTAGTCTCACTAATGTTAACCCTATAGAAAGGGGGTGCCCCTCTTTTTTGGTGGGCATTCACCACTAGAGGACAACCCCCATTCGTAATAGGATAGGCCGATTCATCCGGACACATTACAAGCGAGCTTCGGTGGTCATGCGTCGATATCCGTTCTCCTACAGCCGTGAACCTATGCGCCGTGATCAGAAGTCTGTGTGCGAGCATGGACGGGGTCACCTTGCGATTCTATGCGATTCTTTACTTTTGATGCTTGCCTACAATCATCATTAAAAGAACCACACATTCTTCAATTCGTTCGGTGGTTCTACGGTTCTACCATGAAACGCAGGGAGTTCAATCCAGAAGTGGCTCGACCGGAGTGTATGCTGGAAAATTTACAAGTGCCTAGTTAACCATACATAACAACGTGCTGCTTCAAAAAGCTAACAAACAGCTAACAAATATACACATATACACATGGACCGCAGCCCAAGCATCAAAACAGCAGGGCAGCGCGAGAGTTCAGATTAGCACGAACCTAGCCACACGAAAAAAAACGGCATTGGTAAAAAGAACAGTAGCAGCAATGCCCTATGTTCCGATGGAATTGACCTGCGTTGTGTGGATGCCCAATGTCTCACCCCCCTAATCTCTGGATCCCCCGAAGCTGAGAGAACAATCCCGCCTGCCATCCCAGCGCCAGGAGAGCCAGCCTGGCCACGACTCTTAGGGCGAATGGTCTGGAGCCGAAAGCCACTTGAGACCTGGGTTATTTTGCTCACCTCTTTTGGACTGCTTCCAGTGGGATGGTTGGGCTGTTCCCAGGCCAAAAACATCCCGTTACATAAAGACTGCAGCTGACGGCCAAACGTGCTTGTCGCAACTACTCCTTGTTTTGATGAGTATAGCTCCCCGGGCGCTTCTCCGCCGAGCACTGCCCATCGAGCCGAGACGAGAAGACTTGGACACTTTGGATTGGCAATGCGGCATCGCAAGCACAAACGCGATGCCAACTTCATCGATATAGGCACAAGTGAACACAATGAGGTGATTGCAACCAGTGGGTCCCAATTGTTACATTAGCACAAGCATAGCACTGCCGGTTTCCATCTATCCAGAACCAACCAGTGACGGCAAAACCTTTTGTGTGCAAACACATCGTGGCGAAACAACCTTATTTTGTATTTTGTGATCATTGTTTGTTGCTCCTGTGTGGTTCTGTTTGGAGCTAGTGTCCGTCTAGCTAACTTCCTGTGTGATTCCCGCAAGATGTTCGTAGTTCTTCGCTGTTGAGGTGCTCTAAGACGTGTCTCTACCACACAGCACTCAGTGGGGCAAAGCCTTGCTGACCAGGTGTTCAAAATCACGCGGCGATCGGTTCGTTGTCGGGTTTGTTTGTCAAGTCGACAGTCTATCTGTGATCTTTGCGTTTGTCGCCCTTATCTGTTTACAGTGGCTTGCATAACATCAGCCACATTGCCTCCAGGCCCCACCTCCAGGCTCGGCGAGAAAACATCCGCGGCGGGCAATGGCCGAAGTCTCTGCTCTGCAAGTGTAGCTGTGGTTGAGCACGCCCAATGGAGGGTGGATTATCTCGACTACAACAAAGATTTCATGGGACCAACATGAAACCACGAACTCCGGCTCAGTCAATAGACTATCCTACTAAAATCAACGATTCAGCATGATTGATAAGGCACATAGCGAGGTTGCTGCTTTGACCCAGCTAAGGAAATCATCCGAACACGTCAGGAAATGGATCAAGGATTAGATGAGCTGGCTTGCGTGATACGCCTCGTGGCAGGGTTTCCAACTTCAGTCCCTGTTCGCTGCTCATTGCTGCAATAGATTTCGGCAATGCGACAAAGGTCACTCTATGCTTCTGAGCAAAAGCACCAGGCGAAGCTTGGCGCCCACCAAACCTGGAGCCTTGCCAATTCCCTCCTTCCCTCCCTCCTTCCTTCCTTCGTTCCCTCCTTCCTTCCCTCCTTCCTTCCTTCCTTCCTTCCATCCTTCCTTCCTTCCTTCCCGCTTTCCTTTCTTCCTTCCTTCCGTTCTTCCTTTTTTCAGGCACCCTTTTGGAGGATGTCAGATTTACCAAGAGCAGGCTCAAAGATGCTTGCAAAGAGCTAAAGGACCCCCCCCCCAACGATCTGGCGATGCATCTGGGAAGGTTGTAAGTGCCCAGGTTGATACTCTCTCAGCTTGTAGAGCGACGCCTAAGGTTTTGAGCCATCGCCCGCGTCATAAGCTGCACACCAGCTGTGGCCAAACAACGTTCGTCCGACCCGATGTCCATAAGGCGTAGACATCTCAACGGTGCTTTCCCAGTGCCCGTCGAGTCCTGTGAGGCCAACTTGTCATTCCATCCAAAACCAACAGTTTTCCCGAATGTGCATCCACCAAAGCGGTTGCATTCCTCCCCTGTCAGACACAACGCGCTGACCTTTCAACCATCCGGCTCTGGCACTCACCACTTTGGGTTGTGAGCATATGCTCAGCCATTGCTGAAACAGCTTGCAGGCCACATTGAGGCAAATACGTTGCTAGCATGGTACCACTTCTTTGAAGTCCACACTCTCGCACTCGAAGGCTCCATCTCTCACTGCAAAGAGGAAAGGTTAAAGTAGAACAAACAAACACGAGAACAGTCTGCGCAAGTCGGGCAGCACTGAAAGACCTATAAGGACAACCTGGTGCTCGTCATCTCTTCAGGGATATCTGATTCAGTTGGCAATGTCGTCACCAATGAGATACGCGCATCATACACAAAGGGTTTTCGAGCCGAATTGATCAAAAGCTGCAGCTTTTGACTCGCCTCATACACCTCGATCTTCTGCAGGGCCTCGGAAGCATTCGCCGAAAAGCGCATGGCTATGGTCGATAGAAGCCGCTCGTAGGCAGCTTTCACGTCCGCCAGTGTGTGCCCCGGGAGCAGCTGCGAAGAAGAGAAAACTTCGCCGGACACAAGCTTCGCCCAAAACACGGAGTCTGGAAAAACATAGTTTTGGTCTGCCATCAGTGGAGCAAAATCCACTTCTGCAAAGTTCTTCCTAGCCCGAACAAGTGCGTTGGCAGTAAACAATTCTGAAAGCACGCCAGAGGTCAGAAGCACGAGCACACAGTCCAGCAATGGGAAATTCCGAGCATTCAGAATTCCAAGTTGTTTCTCCTGCAGAACCTCCACAGAGAAATCCATCAAGGCCATCAGCTTGCGGCGAACCAGAAAGGAGCATGTCCGCGCTTCGTGCTGCCAAGAATTCAATATAACCAAGCGTACTTCGCCAAGAGTCTGAGTGAGCCTAGGCGCAGACTTTCCCGGCGACCACCCGAAGTTGACGCGGCTCAACTGACACCTGCAGGTGTTGTGAGAACTGACTCAACCAATGCCCCTCTCAGCCCAGGCACTCGCAAAAAGGAACTAGCATTCAAGAAACTGGAGTGCATAAACCAAGGCTGAAGTGTAAAGTAGTCGCGACCCTTGTTGCGGTTTATGGTTGGACAGCCAAAGCCTTTTCAGTGTGCTCGCGACCACATCCAGCTGACAGTCTTCACTAGCAGAGCGATCCAGCTCCAACGTTGGGACTGTCTCCAAGCGATCCAGGGCCTGGCACTGGCGCTAGCAAGTTGCCAAAGTTCGGCTTTGCTTTGTGAGACAAAATGCGTAATCCTCCGGTTGCAGACGGCGTATTGAACACAAGAAACACGGCCAACGAATCTGGACTTTCCCGCCTTGGGCCACTTTCGTAGACGAAAATCCTTCGTTACGAAGGGGGATGTGGAACACAGTAACGTGTAAACCTTGGGGCGTTCGATTCCCTGGGCCACCTCTAGAGCATCCTCAGTATCGTTTTTGGTATCCTCAGCAGGACCATCATCGTAAACATGAACCAACGGGGTCGAAAGGCCCCTACTTGTGGGGGGGCGTTTCCAAAATCAAGCAGCAAACGAGAAGCGTCAGCAGAACGGAGCGTGGTTGCAGCAGCACCCCCCCCTTCGATCAGGCAGAGTTTCTTAACTGTTTCCATTGCTACACGCGCTGTGCGTGTAGAACAAACGTTTAAAACAACAATCACCCCCACGTCCATGTCTGCTCATTGCACGCAGCGCGTGATAACTTCCTGCTGTTCGGCAAAGATTCGTTGAACCTGCAAGGTCAAAATCCATTCCCAAATCGGGTCTCCCCTGTGCATCTGCAGCGTACCTGTAAGACAAAGGTTAGTAAGAAAACAGGCCGGTGGTCGGCAGCCTGAGCTGGAGGCGTTAAAGTGTGCTCTTGTGTCCAAATGAGCCGTGCCAAATACTCTTGTGTAAAAAGCGGTCCTATAAACTTGCTTTCGCGGACCCTTTCGCGATGCTTTCGCGACCCCATGTTTTGCTTTCGCAGGCTTTGGTTTCTTTAGAATTGCTTTCGCGACGCTTTCGCGGCGGAGCGTCACACAGCATGCAGGCTTTCGCGGGTCTTTCGCGGCGGGACCTTCTTTGGTTACTTTCGCGATAAGCTTTCGCGGCCTTCGTTTTGCCTTTCGCGGGGATTCTATAGGACACCCCCCTTTACTACTTTGTATTGTCAGGGTTTCTGGCGCTGCTCAAATGGCCATGGGTCAAAATCCAAATCGTACCCCCAGTGAACATCCCAATCCCCACTAAGATAGGTTCTAAAATAGGTGGTGCACCTACCCCAAAATGGGATCCCAAAACGGTTTTGACCAGCCAAGTCCTCGCCTGTCCCACCGCTCGCATGGAGATGCCGTGGCTGGCCAGGAGATTCTTCTCGGAGGGCGTCCACGCTTCTTCTAGCTCCTCCAGCATGTTGCACTTCGGGGGCACGAAGTCATTGCATGCCACGGCCACGATATGAATCCCCGACTTGACGGCGCAGACCACCTCCCCCACGCACCACGGCCTGAAGAGGATATCCCTTGTCAGCAAAACCACGAGATTGCCGGTCTTGTGCGCAATTGTGTCAAACAGGCTGTCCAGGCTGAGGAGATCATCAGAATCCAAAAATATGCTCACGCTTGCTTCGTTCATCATGCAGGTCTTGTACCAACGTGCCAAGGAAGCTGCTCCCGCTTTGTGATGGCTTAAGAAAATATGGTAGAGCTTGCGGCTGCAAGAAGCCATAATAAGCTGGCACATGAAAATGAGGGCAAACACGAACACCATGAACACCAATTGGCCGACTATCCAGCTGGACATGAAATCGACCGCATCCGGCGGTAAATCCAGCAATGACATGCAAGCAACAAGAAGTCCACATACTAAGATCGAGCCAGCTGCATCTATCAGGTTTGGCAAGTAGGTTCTCCATGGGAACAAATGCGTCTGAATAGCCGTGCTGACAATCAGCACCAGACTCAGGAAAAGAACATTTAAATGCGAAGAGTTCACAAATACTACAGGGATGAGGGCAACCGCCAGATTGCGCAGAAGGAATATTGCAGCATAGCCGTAACTATGCGCAGAGAAGCGATCAAATGCGAATCGCCAGCGCATCATGAAGTGGATGCCCCCTGGCCGCTGTATCCGAGTGGGATAGACGCGCACAGCCCAAAGTATGGCTACCAAAGGCGTCGCCACAAATAGGCAGAATGCGGCTATGGAGGCCAACCGCATTATTGCATGAGACCTGACCGGCAAAGCAAGATTGAACCATTCTTTGTTGGACCACAGAGCCGATTTTCAAACGCAACTTTGTGATGTTAAAACGTGCGAAACAAAGAACAACACCTGCCCCTTGCAATCCTTTGCTTCACGGAAACAGGTATGCAACTCCCAGATGTGCACAACTCTGGCCTTGATTCCCAGCATTGCACTGAGCGGAAGGTATATACTGAGCTGCTCCGGTCAGGATTTGCGACACACTGCCAGGGCAATACTGCAAGACCTTGAGCAACTGCCACAATGCCACATCACGAAATATCACAGCATGTTAAAACATGCTCGGGCACAAAGGAATGGGCCCAATAACTCAAGGACCCCTATCATATCCCATTCAGCAGACTAGAAGCATGTCACCGCAACAAGAAACAACCTCTGCGGCCGTTGTGGCCCGCGCCCCCCACCTGGAAGCTCCTGTGTTTCAGAAACTCGCGATATGGCGTTGAGGCTTAGTGGCAAGGATTTGCAAGTGCACCTGTGCATCATTTCGTTGTCTCACTGTAACCAAGCAACGGGATCTCATGGCGCACACTCGTTTCTCACAACAGACTAACCGCAAGCAAAGCTCAAGTTTCACACGTAGGTAAAGCAACGACATGCTCAAATCATCCTAAAGCCGTCCTAGGTTAGCGTCATGACACTCGTCACAGCCCTGTGAACAAATGTGTCATGCCCAAAGTGGCTCATCTCAAAGGCGCTTGGTCAGTTCCTTGACTGTGCAACCTTCGGGCGCCGGCGGAGTTTGCACACTTTGAGAGCTGTGTTGGACATATGGGGACGCCAAGAGTACATGCCAAGAGCATTTAATGCTCCCCCAATTATGTTAGCTATTAGCTCACTTGTTCTTCTCAGCTTGCGAAGCGCTTTCATCACGTTGCGCGCAGGCAAAATGCGCCGACCCATTCAGGGTGTGTGTGTGTGTGATCTCTGTAGTCCGCAAAACTAATTCAGTCTGACCCAAAAACAACTGCACACGCATATTGAGTTATCCCAACCATCGCTCAACATTCCAACGGCCTGACATCATAGAATACTGCTTCCAAGGGACGTGCTGCAGGCAAGTACAGCAGGAGCACCACTATTCCCTGACTGCTGAATACGGATGACCAATTAACAGGAGAGCCCACCCACTGACGAGTCTTGGCAGCAACGACCAACATAGTCAGCACTGCCGGAAGAGCTGACAAACAAAGCAAATACGGGACAAAAGGCTCGCTGCTCACACGCAGGCATCCAGGCCCCAGCATTTCTGCGCTCAGACTTACCCACTTCATGGCTTCAAGGATCCAGGGACTGCCATGACTGCTGGTGAAGGCGAGTGGAAGCTCAGCAACAGTTCCCAACGCTTGAAGGATGTTTGCAATTATGTTGAATAATGCCGCAATGGTAGCTACGTCGCTGTGGAAGACTGGCGGGTCGCTCGACGGACCTGTCATCCTCCAAGTGAGACCCAGCAAAGCGAGGGCTGCAAGGACAGCCAAGAAGATCAGCACAAGGTTTCCCTCGAAGGTGCACGGCTCACAGCGGTCGCTCCTCCATTGAAAGCCGTCTTGACAGACATCACAGGCCAAGTCTTGCTGCTGATCAGGGCAAGTGCCCAGGGTTCGGCGCTCTGGGCACTTCAGCTGCATGCATGCAACCATCCGCGGCGGCGCCACTAGGATGGATCGCTCGATTTTGACATCTCTCGCAAAGAAACCCGCTGCCTGAAGTGGGGGCTGGTTGCCTCCAGGGCAGTACAAGCCTTCACCGCACGCCTCGCACGCCAAGCCACGGGTGTCTCTCA